ACGCCAGAAATAGAGGAGACTTTGGTGTAGCCAATGCTCTATCCAACTGACCTATGAGGCCCTTACCGGGAGTCGTGAGTTTAATCACACTTAGTGGCATTGACATTCAGATATCAACTGACTTCCAAGTTTCTTCAGTTCTCTGGCCAAGATAAACCCTCCCAGAAACGGGTAGATTTCAACCATACTGTTTGGAAACCAAACAGACGTCTGATCAAATAACTTTGTGCTCCTAGTTGGGAATCTTGAAATCAATAACAAGGTAACCAAACCACAGTAGGCTGGATGGACGTTCGCCGGCCCCAAGTAAGGCCTTCAGGCGACTTGATTCATGGAAAAATAACCAAAATTCTGAAAGACAATCTTGGTCAGAAGAGCTCACTTAAATACTGTTGTTTTAAAAGTGGTTAGCACGCAGCAGTTGAGTGCACATGTTGCCACCCGGCGGCAAAAGTCACAATCTAAAAAAATGACTGACTGAATGAATGACATGCGCTTTTCATGAATTTTTACGCCCTCTTTACCCTGCATAGAAACCATGCTTAAAGGTATCCTCCCCTATACTTATTTTGTAGAAAAGGCGATTTACTTTGACTTCGACTAATTTTGCACTCGGCCCGCCATGCTGCCATGACCTGCTGAAATTTTGTCAGACGAATTGGAAGTGAACTTGATGATTGCCCGGCCAGCTGGTTCCAGCTGGCCGAGCAATCACCATTTACATTTCCACCACGTGTGATGAAAGTTCAGCAGGTCACGGCTTGCACGCCGGTAATCAAGCAATTAGTGCACAAACGGGCAAGTATCCCCGATAGGGGAGTCGTTAATTGTCATAAGTGTGCAGTATCATAGTGACTGTATCCTATTCATACTACAACTCCCTGTGTCTGAATTACCGGTTTCTGCTACTGTTTGTGTTAATGCCTCTGATGAAGAATCTGCGGAGGATTCCGAAACGTCAGGTAAAGGAAAACATTGTCCCAGCTATCGCATCTTCTTCTTTTTCTCAATTACTTTCTGAGACTCGCATGTTCACTTGTATTGACAGAGCATTACTTTGTTAAATATGTCTTGTTGAGGCAAAAAGCCACAGAATTGGTGGCTTTCGCCTCAATACCGACGCCACTGCCCGCGCAATTCATATGCAGACTCAAGTAAGCTTAAGCCAGTAAAATCAGCTTAACAACTGATGCCTAACACTGCCATTCTTGCGACGACAGAGTCCGCCCTCGAAGGAAGGGGCAGGCACTTCGTCTATACACTGCCCAAATGCGTGCTAAGTGTCTCCCCGACTGAACTACGGCCTTTGCTAGTAGAGTTAGCATAAACGGGAACTGTTAGGAAAATGGATGGGGGAGGACAGGGGAGAGAGAGGAGGACGTGGGAGGGGATACACTCTTCGTACCATTAACTGTTGAAGTTCGCCTCGTTCACGTTCAGTCTGCTCCATGACCGAGCGTCGGTCTTCCTCCAGGGTCACCTGCAACTTTGTCAGACGTCCTTGTTCCTGCTTCAGTAACCACCGATCCTGGCAGATGAAAAAAAAAACCAGAACAGTTACACTGGTAGTGATTTAACAGGAAAGGCTTACTTACTTACTTGATTTAGACAGACATGTTAAACTAAGGTTAATCTTTAGTGAGGCGCTAAGCTATAGGGCTAGAATTTAGGGTTGATGTTCGGAGTTTGCGGTTAGATTTGGGTTTAGGGTTGGACTTTGGTCAAAGGTTAGAGTTAGGGAAACGTTAAAGTTTGGGGTTAAGTTGAGGTTTGCCTGTTGCATATCGTCTTACCCAATTCGATATTCTTTAACTAATAACCCCGGATTACCTGGTTTCCGCCCGTTTACTTGCCTGTACTTCACACCCTGTAAACTGCGCGGTCGGTCTCGACACCTCATTAGAGGAACAAATCAAACATACGACAGAAATGCGAATTCTCACAATGTACTCTGCAAGTTGCGTTAATTTCCGCGTCCATTTGTCCTACTGATAAGACCAATATTAACCCCCTTCCCACAATACAGGAATCCCTGTGCTCATTTTTTTATTGAGGGTGCATATTCAATCCTCATTCCATTACCTCGCCCCCGTAAAAGCTACTAATCGCGGGAGAAAGCCAAAGGGCTTTTAGCGCCTCAAACGCGTATAAGTATGCCACACACACACGTAGGATTCACGTGATTACGGTTCTCGAGCGATTGGAAAATGCATACATACGTTCAGCCTCGAAAACAGCCAATCATAGGCACCCAACACCTCTGGAATCACGCAAGCTACTCACAAAGCTGATACCAACGGGCTCTGACAGGGTACTCCCACGTCCGATG